CACCTGTCCCCTCCCGAGCCGCAGTCTGCCCAAGCTGGGGGCACAGCACCCCACCGAAGAGGGGGGGACAGAGGCCCCAGGCGTCACTGCAGGCAGCCTTGCCCCTGGAGGCCCCCCTCCACAGGCCACCTTAATAGGTGAGCGTTGATGCGGGCCTGGCCACACCCCCATCTGTCGATCACAGACAGGACGGGCTTTGCTTCTCCAGGTGCATTCACAGATGCCTTTGAAGCTTCACCTCCCAGCGCTCCCCAATCAAGGGCAAAAGCCTGGGGGCACTGCACCCCCCAGACTCCCAGCTGAGGGGGCGGACTGGAGCAGCGTCCCCGCACCAACGCTGGGGGTGAAGGACAGGTCTCCAGTGTCAGTTGTCACGCTTGCTGCGAGCCCGGGAGTCGTGCCACATGAGGGGTGGGTGCCGCCCGGGTAGTTCATCACACCCCCAGCCCCCGCGCCTGGCACCTAGGGCTCCAGGAAACATTGAACGAAGGGATGAGAGAATGAGCGAAAGAATGCCAAGATACGATCTCATTCAATCCTCACACCTTTGTCTTTGGTTGCAGATGAGTAAACTGAGGCTCGGAGGACCCTCGCGGTCAGCCAGCCCCCCTCCCTGCAGGACGGCTGCCGCCCTGGGGCAGGAGAGTGGCCTCCAGCGGGCCTGCTCCCTCTCTTCTCTCCTCCACCCCCGAGAGCATTTGCCCGCTGCTCCTCAGAGCTGCTGGCGGCACGCCGGCAAGGATGTCCCCCAGACGTCCCGGGGGCCGCCCAGCCCGCTGTGCCACCCTGCGAGGTGTCTCCTGTGTCGCAGGCCACTGGGACTTTCATGTCGGCCAAGCGGAGCCACCCTTCCCAGGCAGATGGCTGGGGAAACTGAGGCCTGAACGAGAGCCTCCCAGGGGATCAGGGACAGCTGGCCTCAGGATGTAGGGGTCCCAACACTCAGCCCGATGGGAGGAGGGGGCTAGGGTGGGGGAGACATGGCTTCCTGCGGCTGCCAGGTCTTGGGAAGGGGCCGTGTCACCCTCTCCCCACTGGTCTCCCAGCCCATTTTGACACCATGGGCCCTCCAGGCCCCCCACGCGCATACGCTCTAGGGCTTGCGCCTTAACTCTTGTGTCCCTTTGTGCACCCCGCACTCGCCTCCCTCGGCCTCCACGCCCCTCACGGACCCCAGGCCAGGAGCCTCCGGGGCCAGACGTGGACACGCGCGGTGGGGGGAAGAGTTTGAGGGCGAGGGCGGAGCAGGACCCCGCCCAGGGGAGGACCCGCCCCCTGGACCTGACTCCCCATCTGTGCGGAGAGGCCACGTCGCGGGGGGGGGGCTCAGACCCCTCACAGCTGATGCACCCCACTCCCTGGCCTTGGTCCCCCCACCTGTAAGATGGGGAGGGGGCACGAAGGGGCTCTGGCCACAGCATTCGGGGACAGCTGTTGTCACCATTCCAGCGAGATGGCAGGAACAGGGGCCCTGAGTGCAGAACAGGAGACACTTATCCGTCCTCCGGTGGCTCAGCCACCACTGTGCCAACACACTGTCCAGGGGGAGGCGACAGGGTCCCCTCGGTGACATCAGGTCCAGCTACTTACCTCCCAGAGGCGGGGGGGAGGGGAGCGTGTCCTCTCCACAGCCCAGGGGTCACACCAGAAACCAGGCCTCGCAGGGCAAACAGGGACAACAGGCCGGTGCCCGCACGGGTGCTCCGCCCCAAGGCCAGCCTGGGGCCGTGTCCGCCCAGCAGCCAGGGAGGGGGCCGGGCCCCAAGCGGCCGGGCGACCACGTGGGCGGCAGATCGTCACGCCTGCTCGTGTGAAGAACAGTTCAGTTTTCTAAAGATCAACTTTATTCTTACAAAACAAAGCATCGTCTTGCCGCTCAATCCCACAGTCGTGTTCCTTCGCATTTACCTAGAGTTGGGGGACTTCTGTCCACAGAAACACCCGCACGCGGAGCTTTACGGCGTCCATCTTCCTGATCGCCAAAGCTCAGGGGCATCCAGATGCCCTTCAGTGGGTGATGCACAAATGCCCTGTGGTCCATGCGCACAGTGGGACGCTCATCAGTGATAAAAGGATGGGGCGCCTGGGGGGCTCACTTGATTAAGTGTCTGGCTCTTCATTTCGGCTCAGGTCATGATCTCTCGGTTTGTGAGCTCGAGCCCAGCATTGGGCTCTGCGCTGATGGCCAGGAGGCTGCTTAGGATTCTTCCCCTCCTCTCTCTGTGCCCCTCCTCTGCTTGTGCTCTCTCTCTCTCAAAATAAATAAATAAACTTAAAAAAGAGAGAGAAAGAAATGAAAAGACAGGGCAGAAGCCTAAAGGTACATCACTAAGTGCAGGAAGCCCGTCCGAAAGGCTCACACCGATTCCGCCTGTTTGGCCTTCCGGGAAAGACACAGCTGTGGGGGCAGGAAGGTCAGCGTTTGCCGGGGGCGGTGAAAACCCTCCCTGTGACGCTGCCATGGTGGACCCACGTCTTTGTGGGTGTGTCCAGATCCACAGAACCTGCAACTTCAAGGGCGACCCTAATATGAACTACGGACTCTGAGGGACGTGGTGCATCTGAGCAGGTGTCCACTCTGGGGGGTGGGGGGCAGGGAACCGGGAGAGGGGACTCTGTGCCTCCCTCTCAGTTTTGCTGGGAACCTAAAATTCCTCTAACAAAGAAAGTCTATTAATTTAGGGGCGCCTGGGAGGCTCAGTCTGTTAAGCATCTGACGTCCGCTCAGGTCGTGATCTCATGGTTCGTGAGTTTGAGCCCCACGTCGGGCTCTGTGCCGACAGCTCAGAACCTGCTTCAGATTCTGTGTCTCCCTCTCTCTCTGCTCCTCCCCCACTCACGCTCTGTCTCTGTATCTCTCAAAATTAAATGAACACTAAAAAATGAAAAAAGAAGCAAGTCTATTAATTTGAAGCAAAACAACTTTATTGAGGCATAATTTGCATAAAACAAGCGTATGTTTCTCATGTGTGCAGTGGCTGCATTGTGGCAAATGAGCCCTGCCCTGTAACCACCCCCATCAAGGCAGACGGCTTTCCGCCACTGGGATCATTCCCCCTGCGTGTTTGCCGGCGCCCCCCCCCCTCCCGGACCCAGACGACCCCTCCCGCCTCTGGTCCTTCCTGGGCACTTCTGGGCGGAGTCAGACGCCATCCCCCGCCGAGAGGCAGCTCACCCATGAGGTGCTGACTTTCATCCGCATCGCTGGGTGCTCCGGGGACTGTCCTCCTGACCACGACTGTTCATCCGCTGCCCGGAGATGCGCCTTTGGGGCAGTTATGAATTTGGTGGCATGAGCTTCTTGGGGCCACAAGGTTGTGGGGCAGATGCCTTTCCTTCTGGAAACTTACAGCTATTGTTTGATGACTAACATGGTCCAGCCAGAGCCACTGCCCATCAGCTGACCGGCACTGGGCACACCGCCACACACACCCCCGGGGCAGACCCTGGCCCAGCCATCGTCACGAATTCCACTTTGAGGAAGAGGCTCCAGAGAGGCTGGGTAACTGGTCCGAGATGGCTCTGCTCTCGGTGAGGGCGGGGAGGGGCAGAGTCAGGATTCAACCCTGGCCGAGGTGGGGGGAGGGGGACACGACACGGTTAGGCTGACCCTGGACAGTTTGAGGGTCAGCAGTGCTGAGGGAGAGGGTTTGACTCAGCCCCTGCCCTCCCCGGGACACCCTACCCCAACACCCACAGGCAAACTCACAACGAGGGCGCACACGTTGCACTCCCACCGCGCACACCACACACGCGGAGAACACACCACACACATGCACACGCAGGGGAACGCACACGAGGTGAGGGGCAGCTCACACAGCCACGGTCAAGCACACACACACTCAGCGCGCACACGGTCCCCACGCCCCTTCCCTCCCGCTCACGCAGGCAGATCGGTGCCTGGCAGCACGCGGACGGATGCACCCGGGGCCCCGACGGGAGGGGCGGTGGGAGGCCTCGTCCAGGAGGCGTCCACGGAGCTGCAGGGTCCGGCCAGAGCCTGGATCGCCCTGGCTGACCTCCAGCCCCTTCTGAGAGCCCGGGGCCCGGCCGCTGCCGCCGACGGGGCCTCGCCAGGGAGCGGGAGGGGCCTCCCAGACCTGCCAGGTGTCCTGGCCTGGCGCCCGGGCGCCTCCTCCAGCCCTGAGGTCTCCCTGGAGCACATCCGGTGCCCCTGGGGGCTGCTGCTCCCGTGCACCCCTGAGGAGGCCGGGAAGGGGTGTGAGGAGGGGAGCGTGGGGGGGCCATGCGGACGGGAGAGCGGGGGTGCAAGACAAGGGGTGCAGAGGGCGCATCAGGGGCAGCCGCAGGCCTCAGAGGCCGGCCCGTGTCTGCGTGAGCGCAGCCACAACGTCCCAGCGCAGAGAACAAGCACAGGAAGCCCCCCGAAGGCAGCAGCTCCCCACCCCCGGCCCAGCCCCCCCGGGCACCCCACCTGCCCGGACGCCCCTGACCTGGGACACCCGGCCCTCTGGGAGGGCCCACCATGCGGCTCCCCGGACGCGGCAGGGACACTTCCAACCACACGTCTGGATGGATCTCCGTCTTCTGAGCTCTGGGAGGAGCGTGTCTGTGCCCATTATCCCCACCGTACAGACAGGGAAACTGAGGCCAGAAAGGTCAGCCTGTGGTGAGCCAGAATGTGAGGCCAAAAAGGGACACTGTAGGCCTCTGCCCCTCCCCCCACCCTCTGCCACCTCGGCCCCCTCGCCCTCTCCCTGCCCCGTCCAGGTCCCTGGATTCTCCCTGTTAACTGGCCTGCTCGGACCAGAGGCACCGGCCCCTCAGTAATTACGGGAAACAATCCCAGGTCTGTGTGGGTTCAGCCCCGACCCGTTCTGCCACTTTCTGTGAGAAGGCAGAGCCCGCTCGGCAGCTTTGGGGCCGTCTCTGCCTCCTTTCCGCTCCCGGCTCGGGGAACCCAGAACCTGTCCAGCGGGTTTGGCTAAAATTGTGTCTTGTTGCCCGTGCAAGTTCACGCACTGCTCACTTCTGTCTCCCTCAGGTGGGGAGCGCCGGGGCTCGCCCCAGGTCGCTGGAGGTCGCGGCAGTGAAGGACCATGTGAGTACCTGGGGACCCCAGGGTTCACGGCTTCAACAACGGGGGGTGGGAGAGGCGGGGACCGGGGTCCCTGGGGAGCCCAGGCCCTGCACTCTGAACAGGAGGGGGGAAGTCGGCCGGACTGGCATTAGAGGCGCAGCCACATGCCCTGGGGCTCCCGGGCCAGGGGGCTGGGGGGAGGGGCTCAGTGGGTTTCCTGGGCAGAGGGGCGGGGTGCAGAGAGCACCAGGAAGTCGTCATCTGGTAAGGACTCAGGGGCACTGGGAGTGGGCTGCTGGCCAGGCGCCGCATCCCGGACCCGCCCCACCGCCTGGACCCTCACAGGGCAGAGGGTCCAGGCCACGGGGCTGTGGGGACCCCGACCACAGGGCTGCAGTCACACGCAGCGCCGCCGCCCCCAGTGCAGGGCTGGGCACCCTGGGACCCTCGGCAGCCCCCAAAATGCAGTGACAAACAGGGACGTGGGTCCCGCTCAGCCTCCCCTGGCCGGGCCTCAGGGAGGGCAGCCACAGAGGGCCAGCCCGTCCTCGGGAGTCAGGTTGCAGGCCGCGCTGTTACCTGAGCCGCAGAGCAAAGCCTCAGCCCGCCAAGCACGCGCGCACCTGCTTTGCTCCCTGAGCGTGCGTGCATGTGCACATGGGATGCACGGCTGCTTGTGCCTGTGTGCGGGCGTGCACAAGCGTGTGCAGCTCTCTGCGGGCCTGTGCGGGGCCCTGCGCGAGGTGGGGCAGGTGACTGAGGGCGGCAGCTGTGTGCGTGGGGCTGCGTGTTGGGCCGCCACTAAGGTGTGTTAGGACAGTGTTAGATACTGTCGCCTCCCTGTGTGCGTGTGAGCGTCACACACTATGCACACGTGTCACGGTGATGTTAGAAACCACCCCAGCAGTGACGCCTCTCTGGACATGACCTGCCGCTGTGAAGTGGCCCCGGGGGCTACAAGGAGGCCCAGGCTCTGGGTTTCTGCCCTGGCTATGTCCCTCGCAACCTGGTGGCATCACTCTGAGCCTCGGCTGCCTCATCTATAAAATGGGGTTGTCACAGCTACTCCGTGGGTGAGCGTGAGATCCAATGAGTCGCTGCACGTGAAGCTCCCAACAGGTGCTGGGCACCCAGGCTCGCCCCCGGCCACCAGCCAGCTGCTGTTGCCGGAGCGCCCACCACGCCCGCCCGGGGAGGCGAGGCAGCCCAGGCAGCACAGACCCTGGTGTCTCCAGGGGCCCCGGTGGAGACACGCCCACCGTCTGTGTTAGGGACAGGGCCATCAAGGCTCAGCCAGGCGAGCGGATTGGCCGAGGTGGCCACGGGCTTTGCCCATCACCGCAGAGGCCCCCACAGAGGGTGGGCAGAGGCACCCGAGCTTCTTATCTGCCCCGAGCTGTAGAACCAGACACCCAGCACCTCCTCAGAAGGTCACGGGGCTCCAGCGTGCAAGCAGCTGGCCGTCTCCGGTGGCCCTGGCGCTCTCTTCTGTGCGAGGAGGCCCCTCCCCCCGACACGGCCACCGAGACCCAGGGGACCCGAAGTGCCCACACACTGAACGGCTGTCCACAGATGCAGGCGTGTGCCGGTTGGAGCCTGAGGCCTCTCCCCTGGACTTGGGGCTGGGGGGTCTTGCCCTCTTGCGAAGGGGCTTTGCAGCAATGGGACGCGTACTTGTCGGCGAGCGGAGGCGCCCTGTACGCGGCACCACCAGCCGGCTGGGGGCCACGTGAGGGAGGCGCTGCTGGAGGGACGGTGGGCAGTGGATGCGGTCTCGTCTGCACTTAGCTGAGCCCTCGACCTGCCGGGTCCTCAGCTGGACGCACATGGCCTGGAATGTGCCGCCAGGACAGCTGTCACTGGATAGAAACGAGCCTTATAACAGCCTGATGTGGGGGTAGTATGACCCCCACACGCGGGACCCGAGGCTCAGAGAGGCCACACAGAACATAGAGGCAGGAGGGGACCAGCCCCAGGCCCGTCAGCCCTCTGCCCAGGGTCGGGCAGACGCGAGGGGTCGCCCGCCCTTCCTCCCGCCCGCTCCTTCCGGGGGCTCAGCCCCAGGAGACACCGTCCAGTAGGGGCGTCCAGAGCGTCCGCGGGCCCTGGGGCGCAGAGCTCAGGCCTCTGTCCCCATCCGCACCCCGGCCAGCAGCTCAGGCCACCCTCTTCCTGTGCGCACACCACCCGGGCCCAGGGACAGAGGCCCAGCTCCCCGGCCCCAGCTCGCAGCCGCCCAGGCCCGTCTTCCCTGAAGCCCTAGCCCTGCTTGTGAGGACAGCCTCCCTCCACCTCCCACCCCTTCCCTAGACCCTCCTCCCTCCAGGAGAACGGAGGCCCCCGAAGACCAGGTCTGTCCCCTCTGCCTTGGCCAAATGTGCTTCTGTCACCTGCCCACCCAGGGAAGTCACAACATCCCCGTGACACTGTCACCCATGGGCTGGATGGCTCTGGGCCTCCCCAGGAGAGGGGAGGGGAGGGGAGGAGAGGAGAGGCTGCCGGAATGATGCACCCCTTCCACTCTGTTTCCAGCCACCAGCACATCCTGCCCTGTGTCCCTGCTGTCCCTTGCCCAGCGTGCAGGAGACAGTCTCCTCCCGTGAGGCGGGGGGAGCAGGGCCCAGCAGCCCTGCATCCGCTGCGCCCAGACCTGTGGGCACTGGAGGCTCCCTGGGGCAGCTCCCAACGGGCTGGGGGGAAGGGAGGGAGAGGCCCGGCCCGTCGGGCGGGTCTGGGTGGAATTTCAAGCGGCTGCGGCTCAGCCCCTGCCTGGCGCTCCTGGCCCAGCCTCCCGCCCTGAGTCTGCGGAGGCCCTGCTCACCGTGTGGTCCGGTGGCCCTGCTGCAAGCCACGCGGGGCAGGGTCCGCGGACCCCTGAGCCAGTTCCCACCCCAGCTCCCACTCCCTCCTGGGTGGCTGGCAAACAGGACGAGTTCTCCGTGGGCCTCGGTTTCCCCCTTTGGAGAGCAGGCCCCTCACAGGACACGGGGCTTTAATGCCGGCGGGAGCACTGGCCTGTCCCAGCCCCTGGGCTTTCCGGTCTTGTCTCCTAACCTCATCAGGCGAGCTCCAGCCCCCAGCCTCAAGGCGGGGCCCCTCCTAAGCTCTTGTCATCCCCACTCAACACACAGCCACCAAGCAGCCACGCATGTGCCCCTGGCCATCACCTGGGAGTGGCCCGGAGCCCCCAAAACAAGTTAAGGGGCCCCAGCACCCCAGCACATGCCGCCTGCCCTGTTCAGTGGGCTCCCACAGCCACCGCAGGACAGGGGCCGTCTCTGCGTCCTCCGGCCGACACTTCCCGGTGCTCTGACGCTTGACCTCAGGTCCGAAGAGGCTGCTGAGAGCCAGACCCCACGGTCCAGCCTCCCCCTGGCAGCTCCAGAAGCCTCCTGCTGGCCCCGACCCATGGCTTCTCCTGGGGCCAGTCAGGGACCCCCTGGGTTCCACCCCCAACTCCCAAGACCCCAGAGCATCACGCCTCTTCTGTGCTCTGTGAGCACGAATGCCGCACCAGGCCGGCTTTCCAGCCCGGCTCCCATCGTGCGGTGTCACGGCGTGGTGGCACCTGGGGGCGAGCACCCGCCGCCCCTCCCAGCAGGGGGCACTGGCAGCGGCACCTGGGGCTTCCCAGCTTGGGGCTGCCCGGCAGGGTTTGCTGCAAACCCTCGTGTGCGTGTCCTCAGTGCCGACGGGATGAGGCTGGGTTCCCTTGGGCAGCCCGGGCAGGGGCTCGGGGACAGCCTGGCGTGATGGGGCCACGGGCCGGTCTGAGCAGGGGCTTCAAGGGCCTCGAAAGGCCCACTGCTGTGCAGAGAGGGTGTCCTCATGGGAAGGGGGGTGGCTTGGGCACCGGTGGGCGTAGCAGGGGAGGGGAGGGGAGGCCTGGGTGGATGTAGGGGGCGGGCCGACAGTTGCTGCTGCCAGCAGAAGAGGGGCCAGGAGCTCAGCCACCTGCCTGCAGGGTCCAGCGGACCCCAGGGCTCCTTGGGCTAAAGCCCAGAAGGGGCCACCTCCCCTGGCCAGGAGGTGATATCCACCCTGTTCCTGGAGAGACTCTGTCCGTCCAGCGGGGCCTCGTCCGTCCAGCAGGGCCGGCAGCAGCCTCAGGAAACGCAGGCCAGAGTCCAGATGACCATCCACATTTACTCAGACGCAAGGTGAACATGGGGAGAAGGGGTGCTGGGGCCTCAGCACCCCTTAATACATGCATACACAGCACACAGCCCACACGTGCGGCACATACAGTACCTGTGCACGGTACATGCACACACACATGTACACACAGTACCTGTGCACGGTACATGCACACACACATGTACACACAGTACCTGTGCACGGTACATGCACACACGCACACACACACACTGCATGTACACGGTACCTGCGCACACGCACCCACCCCCACGGCATGCACACGTGTGCACAGCACACTTCCCGGCCCCGGACAGAAGGCAGCCCGGGTGCGCGGCAGCCCAGAGCGGAGGTCTGGGTCAGAGGCCGGTCCCCGCCCCAGCACTGGCAGTGCCCCCTCCCCTCAGAGAAGGGCCTGGAAGAGAGACTTTCCCAGAAGGGCTCTGCATGTTGCAACCGGCTCACGGGTTAACAGAGCATGTAATGGGTGCCCGGAGCCACTGCAGACCGGGCCTGGCCAAGCCTCCTGATCTGTGGCCCAGCCTCCCGGGCCCGGGGCCAATCTGTGGCACAAGGGCAGTGGCGGGGTGGGGTGGGGGGGTGGAATGGGGACCCACAGCTCTGTGAGCTCACTCCTCCCAGCTGCCCGCCTGCAGAGACCTCTCCAGGCTGCCCAGGCCCCAGCCCCCCGGGCCCCCTCGTCTCAGGCAGTGGCCCCTCAAGGTGTGCACAGCCCAGCAAGGGGCCCCTGAGGACCTGTGGGGAGGAGGGGGTGGCGCCAGCGGTCAGCGGATTCCTGCCCCCTCCTTGGACCCTGCGGCCTCTCAATATGGAGCCCACTTCCCTGGGCAGACGAGGTTGGTGTGTGTTTCTATGACCTTCCCGAGCCAGGTGACCTCTCCCCACGCCCTCCTCTACAGGCTGGAGACAGAGGGGCAGTAGAGGCCAGGGCCCCATCCCTGTGCCCTGAGCACAGACGGGCCTGGGCTGGAGCCCTCGGGAGCCATGGAGAGCTTCATGGAGTCACTGAACAGGCTGAAAGACATCCATGAGAATGAGGTCCGGGGTGAGTGCCACGGGGTGGGTGTCCACAGCCCTCACCTGGGCCAGCTTGGGGTGCTCCTCCATGATACCTCCAATTCTTGCCAGACCCGGGGACCCTGCCTGCCAGGCCCCAACACAGAGTCCTGACCCAGAGCCCAGAGGAGGCAGGCGCCCAGCCTCAGATCAGCATCCCGAGTGTGACCCTGGTGGGGTTCTCCCAAAGGGTCAGCTGACAGCAGAGCAGAAATAAAGAGCCAAGCCCCCAACAGAAAGCTTGGGCTGAGATGAGCCCTCAGCCGGGGCGGGGCAGGGGTGCCCACGGCCACACCAGGGTGGCTGCCTCCCTCTAGGGACGGAGGGAGGCCCATCCAGAGCACTCCAGGGATTAGAGCTGAAATCCGTGTGCCCCGACAGGACCCCCAGGCCTGGCTCTGCCCCGGCCCACAGGGCCATTACCCCCCCACAGGCCTGTCCCCCACAGGGCGGGAGCCACCACACTCCCCTCCCTCTCAGCCCCATGACAGCTCTCCCACACCACCCTGAGGGCCCGAGGTGCCTGGATCTCTTCCCCTGTGACCCGGAGAGGGGGGGCTGCGGGGGCCCAAGTCAGACGCCAGCCCGTGGCAAGGAGGCTCTTGCCAGGGGGACCCAAAGAGCCTGCTTTATTTCCACATTGGCTGTGCCCCCAGAAAACACCCCTCCAGGGCCTGCCTGGGTGGGACGGCCCAGGCAGGTGGCGGGGCTCTGCAGAGCGCCCTCCTGACAGCCAGGGACAGGAGGTGACCCCACCCCTTCCCTGGCTCCCCTAGGTCTGCAGAATAAACTTCTGGAGCTGAACTCCGAGAGATGCCGGTGAGTCAGGACAGACCCTGGCCCAGCGGGAAACTGGTCAGAAAGACAGCGGCCACAGCCCAGGGCGCTACCGCTGCCCCCATCCAGTGGTGCAGAAGGGGAAACTGAGGCTCAGCGTGGGGGGTGGGCGTGAGTCACCCGTCCAGAGCAGTGCCTGGAGCAGCCGCTGGAGCAGGACTGGAAACTCAAGCCCCCCTCCTCCCCCCCCCCCCGAGTGAACAGGGACGCCCAGAGGGTGGAGGAGCTCTGCGCCAAGAACCATCAGCTCAGGGAGCAGCAGAAGGCGCTGAAGGAGAACGTGCGGGTGCTGGAGAACAGGTGGGTGCGCAGGGGTGGGGCAGGCGGGCGGACCACACGGAGGCCTCCCTCTGCCCTGGCGGACTGGGCCGGGCAGTGCCCCCAGCGCCCGGAGTAAACCGCACTTCCGGGGCACCATCCTGCACCCAGCAGAGCAGGGAGCGCCGAGCCCACCGGCTGGGGCTTCCACAGCTCTGGAAACGCAGGGGTGCATCTTGCGAGCCGCGCAACGAGGGTCCCAGCCCCGCCGTGGGCCCCGGTCTCCCTCCTGAGAGTGGCCTCTCGCCCCCCCGCCCACCGCAGGCTGCGAGCTGGCCTGTGTGACCGCTGCATGGTCACCCAGGAGATGGCCAGGAAGAAGCAGCAGGAGTTCGAGAACTCGCTCCTCCAGAACCTGCAGCACGTCATCATCCTCAGTGAGCCCCGCCCCCGACACCACCCCCCCACACCACCCCCGACACCCTCCCGACACCACCCCCCCGACACCACCACCCCCGACACCCCCCTGACACCACCCCCGACACCCCCCCCTGCACCTCAGGGAGCCCCGCCCCCGACACCCTGCACCTCACTGCCCCCCAGGGGTTCCAGTGACCCCAGGCCCCGCTCGGCCTGCCATGGGGCGTCGGGGAAACACACATGTACGAGGCCGCAGCGGCCCGGCCTGTCCCTCGCTGCTCAGTCACCTGGGCTTGGGGCGCCACCAACCTCAGGACCCCGACCCCTCCCTCCTGTAAAGAGGACGGTCCCACAGAGTCCGGAGCCCCCAGCTGCCCAGGAGGAGGACAAGCCCCCTGTCCCCTGAGGGGCGCCCCAGACAGGCCTGGCACTGGGGGTGGGAGGCCCCACCACCTTTGAAGGCCTCCAGCCTAGTGCTGTTTACTCAGTAGCGCCGACCGCGCGCCCGTGCAGCGAGCACTTAGGGGGCACCTGCGGGTCGCCCGGCCCTGGGCCAAGTGCTGCAGTCACAGCTAGGGGACAGGTCAAGGAGGGGGACTTCCCTGGTGTTGTGGGGACCCTGCCCCTGCCCTGCCTCCCCTCCCCCGCCTCCTCACTAATCAAGCTCTTTGCAGCCAACGAGCTGAACCGGCTGCAGGGGGAAAACGAGGCGTTGAAGGAGGAGGTGAAGCGGCTTCGGGGCCCGCGGTGAGTGGGGAGGTGAACACCCACAATCCCCATGGGAGGCCCCTGCCACAGGCCCTGGGCGGTCCCCTCAGGCCATCACCGCAGCACAGACTCCTCAACTCTTGTCGTCTAACCAGCAGGAGCCCGGGGACACCCCAGAAACGGAGCTGGGTCCCGGCACCCACAGCCACCAGCAGGGCCTTCACCCAGCAGAGCCCTGGGTGGGGGGGTCGCAGGCACTGTCAAGAGTGGGTTCTTCCTGGTCACCTGGGTGTCCCCAAGGGGTGGCTTGTCCCCCGGGAGGGTGCGCTGGCCTCCCCGCTCGTCTCTGGGGGCACCGCCCTCGCTCACTCTCCGTCTCTGCCCCCCCTCTGGCCTCAGGCTCAAGCCCCAGCACAGGGAGGGTGCCTCAGACCCCCCCTCGCCCCTCCTGCTCCCCTCCCCGGGCGCCTGGAAGGCCGTCACAGAGAAGACACCGGGAGGCCACGAGGAGGTCGAGGACGACCGCCCAGGTGCGAGCCCCCCGAGGGAAGGTGCTGGAGGGAAGAGTCCGGAAAGTTGGGCTCCGCAGGGCTGGGGGGCCTCTGGCTGGAGGACTGAGCTGCGCAGCCCCCTGAGAGCCTCCTGGTCGGCCCCGCCCACTGCTCCTCCTCCCGCAGAGAAGTCCACGGGCTCCAGGACATCCCCGGCAGCCAAAATCCCCCCAAGTGCCAGCCTGCCCGAGACGCGGGCTCCAGACACGGTGAGGACGCGGGCCCCCAAGCCCACTCCTCTCTGCCAGGCAGCCCCAGCTCTGTGCCAGGCACTGCTTGCCAGCCCCACGTGGCAAGTGCCCGGCCTCTGTGCCGGCCAGGGACCGCTGGGTGGAGGCGAGGCTCCGAGCGGGCGGGTGACCCGGCTGAAGTCACACAGAGAACAAGGGCAGAGGGCGGCAGCCGCCCCCGCCCAGGCTGACCCGTCCACCCGGCACAGAGCCCCCAGCGGATCTCCAACCAGCTGCACGGGACCATTGCCGTGGTGCGGCCGGGGTCCCAGGCCTGCTCTGCTGACCGGGGCTCCACCAATGGGACACCCACACTGCCACTCTCCGGGAGCAGCCCCCCCAGCCCCCCCTATGAGCACAGCCTCCCCCTGGACAGGTGAGGCCCTGCCCGCTGCCACCACCCCAGCCGAGTGCCCGGTCTCCAAATCCGGTCCCACCTTTCAGGACGTGGCCAGGACAGTGTAGGGCAGTGGGGGGGGGGGGGGGCAGGTGGGGACTGAGCCCCGGGAAGCCCTCTCAGAAGTGGCCCAAGACCACCCTCGCTGTCTGAGAGCATCTTGCGGCCAGTCCACTGGGGGCGGGGGGGCGGGGGGGCGGGGGGACGGAGCAGGCGGCGGAGGCGCAGAGAGAAAGAGCCCCGTGTGCAGGTCCCCCCGCAGAGCCTCGGGCCCCAGGTCACCTGTGGCCACTCCACAACCACGCTCGCTCGTGGGCCTGCCTGGTGAGCCAGGGCCACGCGCCTGTGAAATGGGGGTGAGCCCGGGACTTCCCTCCCTGCAGCCTGCTGCGGGCCTCCCGGCACCCGGCCGTGACCTGTGAGTCCCTGAAGCGCTCCCTCCGGGCTGACCGCCTCTGCCTCCTGAACCGCCACCTGGCGCTGCACCTTCAGAGCCCCCACGGCAGCCCCCAAGTCCCCACCTCAGTGCCCGGTGGCCCCCGGCCCCAGGGCCTGAAGGCTGGAGACGCAGAGGCCTGGGAGGAGCCCAGTGGCCTGCTGGGACTCCCCGGGGGCCTAGCGGACACGCGAGACCCTCGGCTGGAGGGGGCTCTGCACCTGCTCCTGGCCCAGCAGCTGCGGGCACAGGGGCGGAAGGGCAGTGCCAGGCTGAGGGGCCCGCCCACACCGGGAGGGACCCCACCCTCCCCACCAGTCAGCTCTGACTCGGAAGGCCCACCGGGTGAGGCATCCCTTTCCAGAGGGGGACACGCGCAGCCCAGCGGCCCAGGGAGTCCCAGGGGCAAGGAAGCCACAGGCACACAGGACTCTGTCCCGGACAAGCCCCTGGACCTCTCAGAGCGTGGCCGGGGCCGGGATGGCCCCAAGCCTCCTGCCCAGCCGGGGTCACCCAGCCCCCCAGCTGCCTGCACTCCCAGCCCAGAGCCACCCCCGGGAGCGGAGCCGCCTGCCCAGCCTGCACCTTGGGGACTCAGCAATGGCACCAAGGGAGCCAGAGCTCCAGAGGTGGAAGGACCTCCAAGTCCTGCGGTAAGGGGCCCACCCCTGCCCTCCACCTCCGTGCGCCTCCAGCCCAGGCCCAGCAGCCAGCCAGGCCCAGGCCGAGCTCTTCCCTCTTTCCATCAGGTCAGTCCCCCGTGAGAAAGCCTGGCTGCCTGATTCACACTAGAGAGGCAATGACTAACCCTCCAGCTGCAGTCCCAGCGAGAGCCTCCTAGGCTGTGTGTGCCCAGGGCTGGGCTGGGGGCAGGGCAGCTGCCTCGGATGAATGAAGCTGCTTACTTGCTTCCTCCCAGGATCCCGCACAAGCTCTTCCAGGGCCACACCCCCATGCGCCCTCTCCAAGCAGGATGGAAGATGAAGCTAGAGGGGGTCCGAAGCCTCCCCCCCACCCACACAGGCCTGATGCTGATGGCCACCCAGGTGAGGACGCGTACCTGGGGTCAGGCGCCCCTGGGAGGCGGTGTCGTCATGGGAAGGGGGCGGCGGTCAGTGGCGGCCGAGGAAGCCTGTCCTGGGCCCAGCTCAGCCCCCTGGGCCTGTTTGGCCCAACCCTGGGTCTAGGGCTTGGCACCCCAGCTGCAGACCCAGAAAAGAGTTGGGGGCCCAGGACAGGCACATCTCTGATCACAGGCAGTGAAGGGAAGAGCATCCTAGCAATTAGGGCTTCAGGACAGGTGGTGAGCTCCCAGTCGCACAGCTACCAAGCCTGGGGACAGCCCAGCTCGCGGGGCCGTGGCAGAGGGTCCCAGAGACAGTGGGCAGGTTGCTCGGCCCCTCTGTGCCTCAGTTTCCTTGTGTGCAGTTGCCACTCCTAGTCTGGCCTGCTAGGAAGGCCTGTGCCCTGCTAGACCCCAGGGCCCCCAGCCTGGCCTGACCCTCACCCTGCGTCCAGCAGAGCTCAGCAAGGCCCGAGTGCAGTGGCCGGAGCCGCACCAGCTGGACGAGTCAGACACCTCGGACGATGAGGTGAGGTGGGTCCCCGGCCACACGCAGGTGCCGCCCCAGGCCCCGGGGAGGGCCCTCGTCCTGACCGCACCCCCACACCCTCAGGTGGGCCGGAGCCCCGAGGGAGCGCCGCAGGAGGGGCCCAGGTGCTTCTGCACCAAGGAGCCCGGGCAGGGCCCGCATCAGAAGAGGAAGCGAGCTGTGGGCCCCTGGTGCAGAGGTACGGCGGGGGGGGCGGGGCGGGGCCGCAGTGCAGGGGGGGAGGCAGCCCAGAGCCCCCACCACACCTTTGTGTCTGCTCAGAACCAGAAACCAGCCCTTGAACCCCCCCCGGCACAGGCCCCTTCGAGCAGGGACCCAGGTCAGGCCAGTGTGGATCCTGGCTCTTTTCACCTCCCTGTCCAGCCTGAGCCAGTGCCGTCACCCCAAACCTCAGTTTCCTCCCAGAGGGGGAGGGATGGCACTAGCAGAGCGAGTGTGAGGCTCCAGTGGGATAAGGCTGAGGACAGTTATCACCCTTTGGCATCAGGGCGAAGGGGCTTCCTGAGCCACAGCAGCCCCCAGGCCAGGGGCCCGGAAGCCTGGCGCCTCTCCTGGCCCGCTGTGGACCCTCCTGTCCACCTTCAGAGAGGGGCCGCACGGAGGGTGCAGAGCGCGAGTGGCTCTGTTCTCGTTGAGGCCCCGGGGGCTGCCGGAGCGTTTGGCAGGGACGGTGCCTGTGGGCCCCTCCCTGAGGGTGGCCGGGGCGGCCCCCGCCTGAGGGTATCGACATGACCTTCCACTTCCTGGTGGGCCCCAGAGGCAGCTGGGCCGAGGCTGAGCCTGTGAGAGCCTGAGCTAATAACGCCGGCCGCCCTGGTGTTTGTGCAGGCAGGCTGGCAGCAGGCGGGCCGGGCTGCGGCCGCCACAATGTGCCATTGTTGCCGGGAAGGTGACAGTGGCCTGTGTTTGCTCCGGCGGCCATGGAGGCCAGCACACCTGTCATGTTTCAAGGCACTTCCTGCTCGGCATATTCGGAAACTGTCCCGGTGGCCATAATCCACAGGGGTGCTCGGGTACCCATCGTGCCCTCCGCTCTGAGCCAACTCCACCTCGCGCCCCGTTCTCCTCCCTGGACGAACGCAGGGGCTCCCAAGCAGGCACCCACCCCACCCCTGCAACCCACACACTGCTGGTCTGTGAGAACAGCGGCCTCACTGAGCTTGAGGCAGGCACCGCTCGGTGCCAGGGGCGGCACCCTTGGATCTGGTGCCCACAAGGAGGTTCCAGGCGGCAGACAGCAGCGACTGCCTTTGGGCTTCCCCACCCTGCCCGGTGATGGGTCATCACTGTTTCACAGGTGGGAAAACTAAGACTCCCAGGGGTGAGCTATCCACCCAAGGCCACGGAGCTGCTACGTGGGGTCCAGACCCCAACACGCCCGTCCCACCCAGAGCCCTTGTCCTGCTAGGGCCCAGCATCTTGGCAAGACCTGCCTGCGAGGGTCCCAAGGACAGACCACCCTCCCCTGGGCCCCCGGCCCACGGAGCCACCCCACCAGTGTCTCAGGGACTCCGAGAGCATTTGCTGAGAAGCAGGATTTATCCACAACGTCCTGGGCCTCTAGCAAGGCGTCGGGGCATCGGGGCCAGGCGGTCCTCAGAGTCACACACTGGGGAGACAGCCCAGCCCTGCACCCCTGTCGGGCGCTTCCAGGAACGCGTCGGCTCCCCTTGCCCCAACGCTGCCCCTGGGGCCCCGGGCAAGAAGCCAGCGTCACTGCGAGGGGGACACAGACTGCTGCCTCCGACTAACCGTGGTCCACTCTCCACAGCCTCCAAGAAGCCGCCCCCAGGGAGAAGGAAGCCGGGGGAGCCCCTGACAGCACACGCGGGGTCTGGGAGCCCAAGCGACCTAGAGGACGGCAGCCCCCCACCCAGCAACAGCAGCTGGGAGGAGACTTAGCAGGCTGCTCCCGGGTACCCCACACCCCACCTACGCCCAGCCCAGGGCAGGAGGGGATGGGGTCCCGGGCCCTCTCCACAGGGGCTGGGAAGGCCGAGTGGGGGGGTCTTCGGCTGGCCACTTGAACCCCTCCCTCGCCACCCATCTCAGAAATGACCAGCTGGTCTTGGCGCTCCTCCCTCACCCCAGTGTCCGCTCCCTTGAGGGGAGGTGATGTTCTCAGAGCAGGGGAGGCAGGGGTGACCCAGACTCCAGCCCAGCCCAGCCCCCACCCCTGCTGCACATAGGCAGCCCTTCCTGGGCAGAGCCTCCACTTCTGACCGTCTCAGACTCCACCTGCATCCCTGGCCCCAGGGCCCTGCGCGCCTGGCCACCCCGTCCCTGACTCAGCGGAGAGTGCGAGGGGTGGTCTCAGGCGCCCCCTTGTGGAGTCTACTGGACCGTGCTGGGCGGTGGAGGCGTGGGGAGGCCAGTGGGGGAGGGGGGCGCCCCAGCGGAGAGGGTGCCGGGAACAAAGGTGTAGGGGATGGCATGTGCAGCTGGCAGGGGCGGGGGGTCAGCTGGGCCTCCACCAGCCTGGGCTCTTGAATGCATCCAGGCCTGGGGAATAAAACCAGCAGTGTTCGCAGAGGGTACGGGGACCAGGACCCCTCTGGGGACGGCTGCGGGGAGCAGGGAACAGAACAGAAAACCTGCCCCAGCCCCCACACAGAGCCCCCTCCTCACTGTAGAGTCCCCGGACCCACAGCTGCCACTGACTGGTCAGCACCTGCAGGGCCCCGGGGCAGCTGGGCCAGGGTTACACCCTCAGCCCTCGGGTACCCGCTCCCTCTGCCATTGTCACTTTAGGAGGGTGTGTCTCAGAGCACCCTCTGTGGGAGGAGCTTAAACAGGCTCCCGGGCCCCAGCCCAGACCCACTGAACTGGGGTCCCGGGGGCAGGCCTGCACAGGAAGTTTGAGAACTTGAGAACTGCCCCTTCTGGGCAAAGCCAGGATACGGGGCAGTGACTGGGCTGGGTGAGGCCTGCGGCAAACTGAGGTGCAGGTCTGATGACGGGACCACGGCTCCCCCTCACTCACTGGCCTGGCCGCCTGTTGGCCCCAGGAACCAGAGGGACTAAATTCCCAGGAGGGAAGCTGGGGGAGAGGGGTGCAGGTGTGTGTGTGTGTGTGTGTGTGTGTGTGTGTGTGTAAACTCCTGTTGTTAAAAGTTGCTTTGATTTTTCTGACATCAAATAAACGCTGTGTGCTCCATTCCCACCTGACTTGCCGGCCGGAGCTGACCCAGGGCACCCAGCCGGCAGGCGGCAGAGGAGGCTGAATCCGGGGCTGAGGCTCTGAGCCACCCCAGGCCCCGTGCCGCCCACTCCCTGCGCGTTGGCAGGCAGCAGAGTGGGCGCCACCCGTGGGCACAGGGCCTCCCCAAGAGGGGCCTTCACAGGGCACTTCTGCCGCCCATGAGTGCCTGGTGTCACGTGTTTGGTCCCCATTACACACTTGGTCAAGCCCCACTTTCTCCCTGACGGGAAGCTGTCTGCTCCGCCCCAGGCACAGGAGAGGCCTTGAAGGCCAACTTGGAAGGGCACTGGTGGGAGCCGCGCAGGCCTACCTGTGGTGGTGACGGAAGATCAGTGGGAGGGGCCGTGGGGGGGAGGGGGTCTGAAGGGGCAGCGGCCATGCAGCGGGCCCCACCGGGACGGGGCACTCCCTCGCTCTTCCTGCCCGCCCACAGAAGCACACAGCCAGGCTGCCCCACCCATGCCCTCTCCAGCATGGGCACAGAAGATATCCTGGAGTTACACGCAGAGGCACTGTCTGGGCCAGCCCCCCAGCAGGTGCCCAGATCTGCAGCAGCACCACGAACCCGGTGCTGGGGACGCCCCTCACTGAGCCCACGTAACCCTGACAGTGCCGGGAAGTCATTGTCCCAGGCAGAAAGCTGGACAGAGCAGAAGTGTGACACAGAGGCGAGACCTTGTCCCCCCAAAGACACAGGTGGGCTCCTGGGGGCTCCAGAAGGCAGCACTCGAGCATGAAGCCACCTGCTCTGAGGTCAGGGGCACCTGGGTACAGAATGGGACAGTGAGGCCTCGGCACCACGAAGGCTCAGGTCACCTTGCTGCTGAGGGAAGTGCAAGACCCTGCCTGGGGCGGAAGGACCAGCACTGCTCCCATCGGCGGGGACCGCAGGCAGGTGTCTTCCTCAGTCGGTGAGGAAGCCATGTCACCACCCGCCATTCCAAGGAGCCTTGGGGTTCCTCAAGGAGATGACCCTTTGCAAGCTGAAGCCCCCCAGAGGGCAGGCGGCACAGCTTCAGCCCCCGCACCCCAGCCTCCAGCACGGACACACACCCCAGAGGAGACATGCGCTGGAGCCTAAAGACTCAGCCTCGACGGAGACTGACCACGAAAGCCGCAACCCAGCAAGAGGAACAGGGCGCCAGCGCCCCGAAGCTGCTGCTTCCGAGGCGGGGACTCGAACCCAGGGTGGCAGGGCTGCCTTGCCCGCGAGCGCTCGGCTCGTGGATCCCTCAAGCCGCAACGATCTCCTTCTAGGACCCAGGGGAGCCACCTCCCCATCCCAGCCTGCGAACTCCGCGGCCCGCCCACCGAGCCGTACGGGCCAATGAGCAGGAGCAACGGCGAATCATTTGCATGCGGGCGCCCCTCGGCCAATGGGCGGCGTGCGCGGGCGCGTGCGCGCGGGCGGGGCGGCAGCGGCGGGCGGCCGGCGGGCTCAGTCGGAGGATGGCCGCGGCCGCGGCGGGTGGAGCCCCGGGCCCGGCCCCCGGCCCCGCCAGGGCCCCGCCGCCCGCCGGCCCCGGCCCCGCCGCCAGGGCCCCGCAGCAGGCGCTCCGGAGGCGCGGGGACTCGCGGCGCCGCCAGGCCGCGCTCTTCTTCCTCAACAACATCTCCCTGGACGGACGGCCTCCGAGCCTGGGCCCGGGCGGAGAGAAGCCCCCGCCGCCGCCTCCGCCGCCCGCCGAGGCCCGCGAGCCCCCCGCGCCGCCGCCGGGACCCCCGGGACCCGAGCCCTCCTCCCGCGGAGCCCCGCCGCCGCCGCCGCCGCCGCCCGCGCCCCCCGCCGGCCTGCCGGGGCTGCCCGGGGCCACAGGCAGGGCGTCGGCGCCCCAGGGCCTGCTCAGCCCTGCGCCCGCCCCCGCGCCCGCCGGCCTCGGCCTCGGCCTGGGGCTCGGGCTGGACGGGCAGCGCCAGAGGTGAGTGCGGGCCGTGGGCTGCAGCAGCGCGGGGCTGACCCGGGGCCGTCGGCCCAGGGACGGAGGTGGGCCGGGGACCTGGCAGCCCAGGACACTGAGTCAGGGTGACCTGGGAGGGAGGGGGGCGTCGGTCCGGGGGATGGGGACACCGTGGGCCAAGGCCCCCTCTGCACAGGACTTGGGGATCAGGGTCACCTGGGGCCCTGTCGGTACAGGACTTGGGGATCAGAAGGTGACCCTGATCCCCTGTGAGCTGCAGACACAGGGTTGGGGTGCCCTGACTTTGCCAGCTCTAGAAAGAGTCTTGCCTGGGCCCGGTCAGTCTAAGATGTGGGGGTCAGCTTCCTCAAGGCTTGTCCCCAGACGCGGGGGTCATGGTCCCCTTAATTCTGTCAGCTCCTCAGTCCTCATCAGCCCCCAGACATACAGCCCTGTCAGCTCTGGACACGCCCCTCCCCAACCCGCCTTTATCCGTCCTGGACTCAGGGACTCTGGAGAATCCCTTGTGTGTCCCCTTGCATTCTCCTGGCCGGGCCACCCCTCCGTGTGGGCCAGGGCTCTTCCCTGCACTGTGACATCCGGTGTCCAGGTCTTCTGCGCCAGCGCAGACCTCCCAGCCTGCCATCCCGCAGCTCCTGCTCCCTGGTACACCCCCTCCTTCTCTCTGTGCAGATCCCCAGCCCTCCCCCCACCCCGGTCCCCTCTGGGCTCAGTGTCCCTGGCCCTGTCACACCCCAGCTGGCACTCACTCCCCCTGCTGGGCAGCCCTCAGCCCATCCCAGACCAGCCCCCACCCTTGAGCCCTGCCCCTCCAGTCTGCCTGTGCCCAAAAAGGCCCAGCCGCCAGACACCCGCTTCCTGCCCCTGAGAGCCTTGCACAGCCCCCTGCATGGCTGCAGCTCGGGGGGTGAGGGGGGCAAGGACCCTGTGTCCTCCGCCCCTTCCTCCAGGTCCCAGGGCTTCCCGTACCCTCCCACTGTCCACCTGCACCTTGAGGATGGGCTTGGAGCCTGGGCCTGGGCCTCAGGGTGGACTTCGGTCACAGTCCTTCTGGAAGGGACCGTCTGCAAGACAGAGCTGGAGGGCAGGCCTCTGTGAGGCAGGGGCCCTGCAGAGATGGCCATGACCTCACGACCCCCGCCACTCCCAGGGGGCCAGAGGCCGCTCTTCTCAGCTGGAGGTCATCACGGCTGCGCTCGCACCCCCAGCCCTCAGACAGTGGTCAGGGCACTGGGTGGGGGGGGTCTCTAAGGCTGTTTTGGTTGGGAGGGTTGAGTCCAGGATACAACGACTGGTTCTCACCTTATGGTCAGAGCTTTGTTTGTGGCCCGTGGGTAAGTGCTGGCTGAGGTCACTGTCACACCACAGACGGAAGTATTTCCAGCTATCCGGAGGACCCCCGTGGAGCTGATCCCTTACACAGACAAGCCTGGCTGCGCTCTGGAGGCACTTAGGAGGCTGACTGGGGCCAAGGGACCATGGGCAGCTCGGCACCCCGAGTCCAGTCCCCTGGGGGCGTGGGGGTGCTTGTGCCGGAGGAGGCTGACGCTAGGAAGCAACTAGCTTGCTGGCAGGAGTCCGGCCGATTTAAAAACAGCCCCACGGCTCACTTGTCCTGGCCTCGGAGTTGTCGAGTCAGCCTGGAGGACGGTCCCCTCCTCACGCCCGGCGGGTGGCAAAGCCCCTCTGTTGTGTGAGGAGTCGTGGGGCTTGGGAGGGAAGGTGACTCGCCTGGAGGCAGGTCCCATCCCGAGAGCTATGTGTGTGCTCCCGGCCCGCCGTGTGACCCCGGGCCGCCCCCTGCCCCTTCGGGGTGCCTGTGCGCTCCTGCGGCCGCCCCGCTGCGGGCCAGACCCTGCCAACCAGGCTGGCCAGCAGCCTGTCCCCAGGGCCACGCTCAAGGGAGGGGCTCGGGGGCCGTGGACGCTGGATGCGCACCCTGCGAGGCCATGTGGCCTGTGGTGTCACCACATTCGTAGGGGGCGTGTGCAGTGGCCCGAGCTCGGGAGGGGATGTGGTGTGGGGGCTGGGTGCCCTTCCATCTTCCTGCCGCATCCACCCCAGTCCCTGGGTCCCTCCACCCCGGGCCCAAGCCCAGGCATGAACCTCTGTCCCTCCTCAGGCTCTGCTGCTGAGCTCAGGGCCCTGCCCTTATATTTTGGAGTCACTGTCCCTCCCCGTGAGAGACTGCGGGCTCCCTGTGTGGTGACTGTCCGTTTCTCTCTTTGTCCCCCAGGCCCAGAGATGGGCCCACAGAGAGTCGCTGGCGAGTGCATGAGGGGTGGCCGGCCCAGCAAAGAGGGGTGGCCGGCCCAGCAAAGGGGGCTCCCCGCTGCAGGCTCAGTTGAGGATCCAGTGTTTTCCGGAGGAGGGGGGTGGGTGGGGAGGCCCTCTTCCTGAAGCCTGTACAAGTGCGGTGGTTTGACCCAGGCTCTGGGAACAGACTTGCACCTGTCAGGGGCTCCGTGACCGTGGGCAGGAAGCACAGCCTCGCTGAGCCTCAGTTTACTTGTCTGTGAAATGCTCCTGCCTTACATACTACCTACATGAGGGGCTTTGTGAGATCAGGGGAGGTCAAGGGCACAGCGAGGGGAGGCGGTGGCCAGGGCCAGGCGAGCAGACACTGGTCACAACCAGGTTACCCACTGAGCGCTCACACCAGTCCACAGAAGGGAAGTTGTATTTCACTCGGGCTTTAGTCTGGCGTGGCTTTTCCTGCTAAGCCAGTGAGCAAGTCGTTGGAATCCCTATTCCCCCTGAGCCCCTGACGTGGCACTTATTTTCATTTCGGCACTGCCATCACCTAACACGAGCTGGCAGGTTTCTGGGCTCCGCCGCCAGCAGAAACAGGTGGCTCCCGCCGGGCCTTACACCCTCCTCTCGCTGCCGAAACAAAGCACCCAAGCTGGTTGGCTTTGAACAAGTGCATGGCTCCCTCACGCCGTCCCAGAGGTCACAGCATGAGGTCCATCTGGAGGCTCCAGGGAAGGAGCCTTCCTGCCCCTGCTCCCTGCCCAGCTCCTGGTTTTCCCAGGTGGCCCTTGGCTGGTGGACGGCCTCGTCCCTCCGGTCTCTGCCTCCGTCTTCACAGGGCTTCTCCCGGGGTCTCTGTGTGCACTTGGCGTTTTCTTCTCCTTCTAGGGACACCAGTCATTGTCCACACGAATGGCCGCATCTTAACTTGGTCACATCTGCAAGGATTCTATCTCCAGATACAGTTATGGTCACAGACATCAGGGGCTAGGACTTAGTGTAGCTTTTGGGGGGCCCCAGCTCGGCCCACTGCAGTCCCTGTTAGCGTCCAAGGCACTGATGACTGGGAAGGCGAGCCAGGGCGCCGCCGTGTTAGCCGGGGGCACAGACTCACAGTTCTGGAGGGTTCGCACTGCCACAGCTCTGAGAAGGGGCCTAGGATTTTAGCTGCCATGCTGGCCAGGAGCCACCTCGTGTTCTGGAAGCTGCCAAGCTCCTGTCCAAATTTAACCAATTTTAGTGTAGTGTCTGGCAGTGTGCTCACAACTCCGATTTGGGGGTTTCTTGCTGAAGGACAACCAGACGAGGCGGCCAAGGTTAGAGCCTAGAGGCGCTGCCCCGTGGCAGCTCACAGGTCTCGCCAAGACCTGGTCCTCAGAGACCACACCCTGCGTCCCGTGGCCAGGGGGTCTTCAGGCCTCTCTGAGTGGTGGGCTGGAATTTGGAGTTTGTGCTTTGCCTGGCAGGGGCTTGGCGAGAGGGGGCACCCTGGACTGCCCCGCACTTAGTTTGGGAGGCCGTCGGCCCTCACACAGACCTCAGGTGGGCACCCCTGCTCCGCTGGCATTTCTGTAGTTACAAAGAGAAGGACTGTCCATCAGGTGTCAGAAACTGTCTAATTAATAAATAGCGATTTCTCTTCCTGTTTACCTTTCAGGTTGAGCGTTCTGGGGGCGGGGGCGGGGTAATCCTGAGAGTGAGCCAGAGAGCAAGCAAGCCCGTGGTCGGGGCGGTGGGCACCTGTGCCCCCCAACCTCTGGCCCATCTTCCCCAGAGAGTCAGATGCAGGCAGCCCGGGGTCGGTCGCTGGTGAGGAGACACCGGCCTGCACACCCTGACCTCGGCTCCCCGGAGAGGCTTCCAGGCGGGGGCCACCCGTGTTTGCCCAGACGTCGGTGGCAGGAAGCCCAAGCTGTGTTCTCTGTAGCTGGTTTGTGGGTAGTGTTTTGAAATGGGGTGTAAAATGCAGGCCCGGCTCTGGGGGCAGCACACGCTCCCCCCCAGAAACTCTCCCCGGCCGGCACCCCCTCACACACCAAGACCCCCACATCATCACCACCGCCACAGCAGCACGCGATGGAGTCCCGGCACCGGGACCGTGGCATGCCCGGCCTCCTGCTGCCCGTGCCCGGCTGCTCCCAGAGGGGGTGCCTCTGTCTGGGCCGCTGCGGGGCTTCTGGGAGGCCCTCGGCCATAGCCCACCCATGCTGGGTGGCCCATCCTGCTAGGGCCGCATGTGAGGCCGTGGAGGTCTCACTGTGAGACTCCCCAGAGGGCTCCACATTCCTCCAGAGGAAGCCACCAGCAACTGGCCAGCAGTTTCTTTGGAAGTGGGCGCCATGGGAGGAATGGCCAGCACTGCTCTGTGTCCTGGGAAGGGTGAGCCCCTCCTGACCCCCAGGGGAGACCCGCAGAAGGTCCTGTGTGTCCACGCCTGGGTCTCTGGCCTCGCCCACTTGTGGCTTGACCTGTACCGCCGCCCGTGACATGGTCACCTCCGCGCCCAAGGACGTTGGGATCCCTGGGAAGCTGTTTCTCTCCTGCTCACAAAGTCTCACTTCCAGAACGTTCTGCAGCTCATTCAGCCCTCTGCAGACTGGGATGCGTCCATGGCAGCCGAGGAAGCCATAGGCCTCCCGTGTCCCAGGCGCCCACGCAGGCCCGCGGCTCAGAGCGCCGTGGTCAGCGTTGCCGCCGGTGTTCATTCCAGCCCAAACAGCAGCTCTGGAACGGAGGCCAAGTTCAGCAGAGGAGCATCTGAGGGAATATTCGGGGGGCGGCCTCGATTCCAGCCACCCCAGCCAGTGCTGCGGCGGTAGTGGGCGCACCGACCGCCTGCGGGGGTGCAGGGCCCGGTGCAGCCTTCCACGTGCATGACCTCGTGCAGGCTGCCTGCCGGCTCCGTGTCTCCGTGTCCCCACCTGTGAACTGAGAGTGAGGGCGCCGCCTGCCATGTGCCGTTGTGAGGACTGAGTCTGCGTGTAGCACACTCACGAGGAGGGGCAAGTGGAAGAAAACCACAGGTGTCTGCCAAAGCAGCCGGGCCCAGATTTTAACAGTGTGGTGAGCCGGCCGCGTCAACCCAGAACCCAGGGGAGGAGCGAGCCGGGCAGCAGAGGGCCATGACCCGCCTGCCGCTCCGCCGGGCGCTGGCCCAGAGGCCACGTGCGGGGCGGCGTCCGTGGGGACCACAGCCACCCCGGGCCTGCGCACCAGCTCCCGGGCGTGCGGGAGTCACCAGGGTGCCGCCTGGGAAATGAGCCGAGGAAATGAGACTGAGGAAGCCGCGCGGGGCTGCCCCTGGGGCCTCTGAGCCTGGCCCAGCAGAGCGGCCCAGACGCCCCCAGGGACGGCCGGGCTCTACCTAAGCCGGCTGTTTTGCTGGGCCTGGTCCTGCTCACCCAGCTACTCGCCCGCCACGGGGTCACCGCTCCCCTGCGCCCACCTCAGGCTTCTCAGGGTGGATGCCCGACACGGCCCCCTGCTGCCTTGCACGCAGCCAGCACACCTGCCTGCGGAGGCCCCTGCTGCATGTCCTGCCGCCACCTGGCCAGGCCTCAGGCCCCGTCCCAGAGTCCCCCTTGCCCTGGTGCCCGCCCCCCACCAGGCACTGTCCTCCAGTGGGCAGATGCCCTGCGTCCCCACCAGCCCCTGGGAGGTGGGGCCACTCTGAGACACCCGGCATTTCACTGGAGTTTGCACTGTGTTCAATTCTAGTTTCTTTTCAACAAGCTTCTGCTGTCTTTGTCGTCTCAAAGAAATAAGTGGAGCGTGGGCTATGGCTTCGAGGTGACAGCCTTGGGGCCCCCCGGACTACCCTGGTTGTGTCATCTCGGGCAGGGGCCGAGCTGCTCTGCGCTGCCATAGGCAGTTGATCAGTGGCGGGCGGTGGTGGCTGAGCCCCTGAGTGCACGATGGCTCCTTGGGGACTCGCTTGCTCGTAGTGACCTGGATTCCAGGCTGGCCCCACCTGGTGAGGTGGCCTGACCACACTGGGCCTGGCCTGTAAGCCAGGGGTCCTGCTGGAGAACAGCGTTGCTCCCCGACAGGCTGCAGCTCCCAGGAGCCCGCCCCCCACACCGGGCCCCTCCCAGGAGCCCGCACCCGCTCACACTCTGAAGGAAATGGTGCCGCGGACACCGGAGCAGCCACCCGGCACGTGCCGGCCCAGGCTGAGCTCAGGACCTGTGCGGCTTCATTTCCCAGGCCACACAGCCTTGGCCTCCGCGAGCCTCCCTCCCGTACGGGGGTGTGGGGTGTGCTCGTGAGCCCCACGAAGACTAAGGGGCTGTCAGGTGACCAGGTGGGCGCCTTGGCGCCAGTAACCTGGGCTTATGATCTTCGTGTGCAGTCCACGTAGGGTCTGAGCCTTCTAGCTTGAGAAGCCCCCTGACGTGGGGTGGGAGGTTGGGAGCCCTCCAGGCGCGGCGCTCCGGTCCTGGAGACTTCCTGAAGCCCCTCCTTGCCTTCCGCCTGCTGTGGCTGAGTGGGGCCTGCCGTGCCAATCTTAGGCCAGAGAGGAGCTCTCGGGACGTGCAGGGCTGAGTCCCGGGAGGCGACAGGCAGCAGCAGACCAGGACGCTGGTCCCTCTTGTATTCTTCTGGCAAAGTCTGGTCCTGAGTCTTGCCCAAGACTCAGACGTGGTCACAGACGGGCTCCGGACCCCGTGGCTGTGGGCTGCCATTCAGTGGGGAGAAGCCCGGGAGCACATCTCTCTGGTCGTTAGCTGAGGCCCTGTCCTGTCTTTTCACAGACGGCGAGTCGCCTCCCAGCGCTGCTCTCTCGAGTTCCTGGAAGATGCCGTGGGATGTGCCTCCGTTCAGAGGTGAGAGTTTCACTGGCTCTGAGACCCTGCGCACCCCAGCCGCCAGGCTCTGAGGCCAGGGGGGTTCTCGAGGAAGGGGAGAGTGACCTGGGGCTTACCTTGCAGAACCAAACACATATCCGGCTCCCCAAGGCACAAAGGCCTGAAGAAGACTCACTTCATCAAGAACATGCGACAGTATGACACGAGGAACAGCAGGTACCATGTGCCGCGGGAGCAGGTGTGCGGCCACCGCGAGGCAGAGCTGGAGTGCGATCCCGGGCCCGTGTGTGCAGCCCTGGCGCTGCCCTGCACGTCCACCCTCGAGCCCCGCATCAGCGAGCAGCTCCTGCCGCCCCGCTCCCCTCCGGTGTCCCGGGTGAAGAGCCACCAGGTGCACGAGCTTGAGTAGGAGCGCTGCGGTGAAGGGACGTTGCAAACGCAGAGCGGGCGTGGCAGTGGACCGTGGCCAGGAGAGAAGGGCGGCAGAGGGGAGGCTAAACTAAAAGCCGAGACCCGGCTGCCTCAGACCAGGGTGCAGCCGCGCCACCCTGAGGAGCTTCTGCGCCCGTGGGTGCTGGGCGGGCGCCCTAGGGCGTTCCTGGCGCATCCCCCACGCCCTGTCCTGCAGGCCCTGAGGCATCTGAGCTCAGCGCCCTGCCCTGCGGGAAGCCATGCTGCCAGACGTCCACCAGGAGGCCCTGTCAGGGAGCCCTGTGTTCCAGCAGTGGCCTGGACACCCCCCAGCGTGCCCCCCAGTGTGCCCGGCTCATGCTGCTGCTGAGGAACAGGCCCGAGCGCAGGGCTGGCTCCAGGGAGCCCCGAGGGCCCAGCAGTCGCACCCAGAGAAGAGGGAGTCTCCCCCTGCTGGAGCTGCACTGGCCCGGGGCTGGGGGGGAAGGGGGGTTGGCCTTCCTGCCACACCCGCCCCGTGCAGGGCCACCTCCTGGCTAGCGTGGCTCAGGGTGGCTCGGGACGTAGAAGTAGGTGCTTCTTGGCTTCCTCGGTGCCCCCAGGTAGGCTGAGGACAGGCTCCCCGAACCGAACCATCCTCTGGGCACACGCCTCTGCTCTAGTGTCCTCCAACCACTGACCTCCCCCTGCCTGCACGGGCCAGGCGACACCTTCCTGTGCTGCTCGTCGCCTGGAGGGGACGCACCTGCCAGCGGGATGGCGCGCCCTCGCTCAGCACCTGCAGGGAACGGGCGAGGCCAGGGACAGCCAGACCGACTGGCCCTCCGTCCCCGGGACACCCCGGGCAGCTTGCGTCACCCACGTGTAGGCAGGAGGGAGCTTCCTCCTGGAAACACCTGCCACCTGCTCTGACCAACCCCTCCCCCCAGGATTGTGCTGATCTGCGCCAAGCGGTCCCTGTGCGCGGCCTTCTCCGTCCTGCCCTATGGAGAAGGCCTGCGGGTCAGGTGAGTGATGTGGGGGGCGTGGGCTGGGCCCCCCAGGCTCGCAGCAGCCTTGCGCCAAGGCCAGCAGATCTGCTTCTGCCAAAGCCTCTCGGGAGCGTGGAAGGCCACTCGGGTCCTGGTTCTCCAGGAAGGGTGTGTCCGCGCCGTTAGGTGCACGGAGATGCCCCGGGACGTCCCTCCTCATGGGGATGCGCCCTCGTGGCCATTCCAGGCGAGTGTGTCCCGGCAGAGCTCCAGGAAGGAGGGGGTGACTGTCAGGGCAGAGACGGCACCAGGGACCTGACGGCGGGGGGCGGGGGGATGATGTCAGGGAGAGGCCAGCGCTGCCCCAGTCCGCCAGCCTATAGGCGTCCCCGCAGGAAGTGCACGGGACGGGGGTCCTTCCCCTGTGCCTGTGGCAGTGCCGGCGTGGTTCCCGCCCTCAAGCTCTGGGCCTCGCAGGTGCAGAGCTGGGGGTGAGCTGCTGTGCCCAGAGCCCCTGCTCCCCTGCCGCCTCCGGGGACAGGAGGCCCAGCAGCCGCCTCCCGCCTGTGCACTGCAGTGACCTGAGGCTGGACAGCCAGAAGCAGAGACATCCGTCGGGCGGCGTCTCCGTGTCTTCTGAGATGGTCTTTGAACTGGAAGGCGTCGAGCTGGGAGCAGACGGAAAGGCAAGAGTGGAGGCCGCGCACGGTGGGGCCGGCGGGTGGGCTGGAGCTTGGGCTGGCCGAGACCGTGAACACACCTTGACTCTTAACTGCAAGGTGTCGGGAGGAAGCCACACAGCCCTGTGAGGACACCCGCCCCTCCCCCCCACCTCACACATCGGCCAGGTGAGGGGAAACGGCATGAGTTGGAAGGGGTTCCAGGTGCCGCCTCTGTGCTGGCAGTCAGAGGTCAAGGGCTTCAGAGGCAGCAAGAAGGTTTTTGTGTTGCAGATCCCACATGGGGGATGGCAAGAGTGGCTTTCTGGAACGTTCTTGGCATCAACTGTTAGTGCAGGGCTAATAGGGAGGGCTGCCTGGGAGCATTGGTTCTCGGTGGGTCCTCCTTGTCCCCGTGAGGGTGGCATTTGGGGCCTTCCTGCAGCGGAAGGGGTAAGGCACAGCTTGGCTGGGCCTCTGGTCTTAGGAGGGGGCCGTGGACCAAGGGATGAGTGGGACTGAGCCCTGACACCCCTGCCCCTCCAGGTGGTGTCTTACGCCAAGTTCTTATACCCTACCAACGCCCTGGTCGCACACAAGACGGACAGCCACGCCCTGCCGCCTCAGCCCCGGCCCAGCGTCCCCCGGGCTCTGCCAGGGTCAAGATACAAACCTACCCCAGCCAAGTCAGCGCCAACGGGCACGGATCTAGGTAGCCCCACGTGCCCTAACTGGGCGCCAGGCAGGCAGCCATGCCAGCCGGGCCAGGGACACCCTGTGGCAGGCAGACCAGAGCCACATTGAAGCCCACGGCCCCTGGTCCGGACGGAGAGCCAGGGTTGGGAAAAGGGTCAGGAGAGGAGGGAGCAGATGGCCTGTGTTTCACCCAACCAGGCAGTGGGGAGATCCCGTGTCCACAGATGGCTCCGGGACAGGAGCAGTGGGTCCCTGGGTCAGGACACCTACCCAGCCCTTAGGGACAGGGAACTATGGCTCGAGTCCCTCCCAGATCCCAGGAACATTGTTCCCCAGGCACTAGACCAGGGTTCTAGCTGAGGCTTGGGTTGCCAGAGCCCCGGGCTCATGGTCGGTCAGGGCTGTCCTCTGCACACAGGGACTGACGCAGGGGACGCACTGGAGTATAACCCCAACCTCCTGGATGACCCGCAGTGGCCCTGCGGCAAGCACAAGCGGGTCCTCATCTTCGCATCGTACATGGTAAGCTGGGCGCCGGCGCAGGCCCACTCCACATGCCCCGGGCAAGCTGAGGGTGAGCTGCCAGGGCAGGGCTGCTGAGCCCCCTGCCCCAGGGCACCAGCACCTCGGGGCAGGGGGCGTGTGCAGTAGGCCAGAAGGCTGCGCTGACCCCACAGCCCTGGCACCCTGGGTCGCCCCTCTGCATCCCAGGCCCTGAGACTCTCTGTCCTCATATCCTCTGATCTGGCACCTGAAGCCATTTGCAGACCTAGGCTGGTGTGAAATCAGCCCCCCGGGGCTCGGGCGGCTGGGCCCCCAGGGCTGCGCAGGCTGATCCCCTACCCTGCGGCCTCCTCTCACGCAGACCACCGTAATAGAGTACGTGAAGCCCTCCGACCTCAAGAAGGACATGAATGAGACCTTCCGGGAGAAGTTCCCACACATCAAACTGACACTGAGCAAAATCAGGAGGTAAGGGGGGCTGAGGCGAGATCTCGGGGCCCCACCACTGCGATGGGGCTGTTCCTCCCCTCTTGTGTTTCCAGTAGGTTCCTAGCTTCACAAGTCTAGGTGTGCCCCACCCAAGTCCCCCCCTGCCATCTGACCAGGCCAACATCAGCAGCTCCCCACCCCCCCCCCCCGACCCACCACCTCCACGGCTCAGGCTGCCTCCGTGCCTCTTGCACCCGCACCTGCTAGCCCTTCCTGATGCCCGTGACTACGCAGGGGGTGGGCCCCGTGGTGACCCCCTCTGACAGATGGGATCGAGGGCCGAGGAGGCTTGCCCAAGACTTCACGGCGAGTAGGCGGTGGGCCGCCTGGAGCCCGGGAGTGCCCTTCCCTGGGTCCTCCTCGCCCACACCTCACGGCCCCCCTCACCGGCACCAACAGGGGCTTCGCTGAAGGTCCAGACACTGCCTCGGGGCCTTTCCACAGTGCCGTCTCCTCCCCACGTCGCCCCCCTCACAGTGACAGGGGAGCAGGGCCTCTGCCCTCTGTGGCGTCCCCTGGAGGACATGGCGGGCTCTCTGGTACAGCTCGAGGGCGGGGGCGGGGGGGGGGGGAGCCGGCACCTGCCCGCTTGTCCAGCAAGCTGCAGACGGCGCCGGGCCGCGCCCACCTGGATGGAGGAAACGCGCTTTCTCAGCGGCCCGAGGGCCACCCTGGAGCAGGGCGAGGGTCCACTTCTTCGGCCCGTCAGCACCCGGCTTCCGTGTAAACCCGCAGTTTAAAACGGGAGATGCGGAACCTCTCTGAGGAGTGCAGCCTGGAGCCCGTGACGGTGTCCATGGCCTACGTGTACTTCGAGAAGCTCGTCCTGCAGGGCAAACTCAACAAGCAGAACCGCAAGCTGTGCGCGGGGGCGTGCGTGCTGCTCGCGGCCAAGATCAGCAGCGACCTCCGCAGGAGTGAGGTGAAGCAGCTCATCGACGTGAGTGCGCCCCGCCCCGGCCCGGCCCCGGCCCGGCCCCGGCCCGGCCCCGCCCCGCCTCCCGCCCCCGCCCCCTCCCCCGGCCCGGCCCCGCCCCCCCCCCCGCCCCGGCCGGCTCTGGAAGGGGTCGGGGGGCTGGTGCAGACCCCGGGCCCCTCGTAACCTCCCTGCTCCCTCCTCCCCTGCAGAAGCTGGAGGAAAGGTTTCGGTTCAACAGAAGGGATCTGATCGGGTTTGAGTTCACGGTGCTGGTGGCCTTGGAGCTCGCGCTCTACCTCCCCGAGAGCCAGGTGTTGCCCCACTACAGACGCCTCACACAGCAGTTCTAGCCCCGCCGGGCCTCCGCGGGGATGGCGGCCACCCCTCCCACGCCACCAGCACTCAGGGCCCGAGGGACGTTGCCTGGCCTCCGGGTGTGCGCCCCGCGCCCCGTTCCCGCGTGAGCGGCCGCCCGGCGGGGAGGCGCCCGCCCTCGCCACCGATGCCGTCCCTGCACACCTGCTTCCTTGGAGAGACACTGCGTTCATTCCAAAGCGCACCACCCGCCATGGCACATTCCTGAGAATTTTCTCGCATTTTTACGTGAGCAGAACGTGAAGTTTTCTTTTTTCATGTGCCTGTGACGGACCCTGATCCTCCTCAAGTGGCCATTTCGGATCTTTTCCCTTTGCACCGCCTGGGCTTCCGCAAACCGCCGCCGCCACTGCGCTCGCCTCGCAGGGGACATCGGGGCTCCCAGGGCCTGCTGAACATGCTGAAGTTGCTGAAGTTAATGTGTCCAAACATTAGTCTTGGCTATTTCGGGTTTTCAGCTGCGGTCACAGCCCGGCCCCCTCCCGGCCCAGCCGAGCCCGCCGGTCTCCCCCGCGTCCTTCTGCAGGCGGAGCTCTGGCATTAGGTGCACGCAGCTAGGCCAGCGTCCGGTTTCTCTCACTCTGTACTCCAAGCATCGTGTCACTGTGAAATCCTGAGGCCCGAGCGTCACACACGCCAGCAGGTCTCGGCGCAGACACTAGCCCACCTCACGGGGGGACCCACCCTTCCCCTCTCACCCCGAGCCCCTGCTTGCCAGCCACACTCTGGACCTTCAGGATGACGGACTGCTTGCTCTTGGCTCTGGATCTTTCTCAGCAATATTGTGATGAAGAAAAGCAGTGTATTTATTGTTACTTGCGATTTGGTTTGAAGAGTCTTTTAAGGGAGACGAAACGTGGCGGAAAGCTGCTGAGGCTGTGACGTGGAGCCATGCTCACCCCGGCCATGGGGGGCCGGCTGCTCCAGCTCCCCGGGGAGAGGGTGCACACACTGGTACTTCCTAGGCAGGAGGAAGCAGTCTTGGCTGTCACGCTAAGCAAGCCCAGGGAGTGCTGGCTGCCACCTGTGTGCAGGCCTGTGTCCCTCCTGCACATCCTGGGACCCGGTCCTCCAGCTCGCTGCCCGTCAAACACTGAAGAACTGAGGACAGTTTCCGTCCCTGAGACAGCTGGGCCATTAAGCTGCTTCCCTGCTGCTCTCCTAGAAAGCTGTCAGTCTGTGCAACAGCCCCACCCTGTATCCTGTGAACTGATGCTTTTGCCAAAAGGAGACACCAGTTGTGCTCATCACAGCACTCAGGCACCAGCAACGCGGCCTGGACCTCAGCCCCGTGTCTGCGCAGGCTGCTGGGGAGCCTGCAGGAGGGAGGACACAGCCCAAGACCGTATTCCAACCCTACTTATTGTGGGCGAACTCTGTCCTCTCCGCCGGCCCGACCTGCATGTGTCCCACGTGGAAGAGGGTGGGAGCTCTGAGGTCCAGGCACCTTTCTCCCGGACAGCAAGGTGCACAGCCACCATCGGATCTCAAGGACATTCTAGCGGTACGAGCACTGTAAGGGACAGACTCCCAAACTTCACCTCAAGAGGGCATGTGCCCTCATCCTCCACGACTTCCATACAGGTGTTAGAACAGCTGACAGCAGCTTAGGTCTGTGTGTTCCGTAGTAAAGTTTAGTCCTTCACAGACTAGCTCCCCATTCGGTGTGTCCTGTCCTCGGTGCCGAAAGCTGCTCGTGTGTGATGTTCAGTAATCACCGCGGCAAAGCCAGTATTGAAGCCAAACTTCAGCCTGAACTCCTCATTCTCTAGAACGAACCCAGACGTCCGAGAGGCGTCTCAGGGCCTGGTGCGGCTCGCAGCAGCGGGCAGCAGCTGTGCATTTAAAAGCGTGCTAAGCTTGACTGACCTCAAGGTCAAGTCACGTGTCATTTGTTTGCAAATGGTAACGTATTTGTGGTTCGAAGTAAAATGTGGTTTTGCAAAGTGCTCTGTAGGTTGTCTCCTTTTGGCCAACTGGCCTCGTCCAGCCATACGGCAGCTTTGACCCCGACGCCCCAAGGAATGTACCCACAAGCACAGAATGAACCAACACAGGGGGGTTTTGCTATTTTTGTTATTTATTTACGACAAATATCTCACATCCATGATCCTCTCCGGTCAGAAGTTCCTAGGACAGAAGTAAGGACAACGTTAAAACCTGATTTCAGGAGAGGTCCCTGGCCTCTGTGCCCAAACGCAGCCCATCTCACTCACTTTGAAACGATGCCATCGGCCTTGGCCAGTCGAAGAATGGAGTCGTCGGACTCACCCTGGGAAAAAAAGCACTCGCTATCTCCCCTGCTACCCTCAGCTGGCGGGAAGTCCAGTGGGGACAGCCTCGCACCTCACTACCGGGGGGGCGGGGCTCACCTGAGTGCTTTCTCAGGGGGGTCCTGTCCTGGGCCCCTTAGCATCCCTATTCCACCCCAGGAAGGGGCGGGCGGCCGGCTGAGCCGCACAAGTTAACCTACTCTGCCCACAAATCCACTCGGGCCTCCCCACTCAACCGCGCGCCCGATGCGCAGAGCCAGGGGGCACTCACCATCCGGCGGATGGCCCCGCAGATCGCATAGGTTTTGAACTGGCCGTTGAACCTGCCTGTCACCTTGTCAACCTGCAAGTCGTCAACGCGAGTCACAAGACATCCAAAAACCTTTAACCCTAAATCTGGGGTCCGGGAGTGATCAGCCGCCTAGACCACCCCGACCGGGCTCCGACCACCCTGGAGGCTTCCGGGCCCGCTGCCTCCTCCCGGCTCACCTCGGCCACGTTCATCTGGATGGACGCGTGGTCTTTGGCGCCGATGATTCGGTTGCTGGCGGAGCTGCGGGGAGGGGGGCCGCGGGGAGCGCCGTGAGCCGAGGACTGGGGGCGGGGGGGGGCGGGGGAGGGCGGGAGGGGTCGCTCACCATTTCCGCGGCACGTACAGGTCCACGAACTCTCCGGCGTCGTTCTGCATGTCGAGGGCGCGCCTGCGAGACCCCGAGGCGCCGTGAGGCCGGGCCGCGTCCCCGCCGCAGCCGGCCCTGGCCCCCCCGCCGTGTCCCCAAGCAGCCCCGGCCCTCCCGCCTCCGCTCCCGCCCGCAGCCCCCGCCCGGCCACGCGGCCCACCTGCTGCCACCGCCACGAGCGCGAGCGCAGAAAGGAAGCGCTTCCTCCGCCGGTGGCGGTTTTGGCGGGTGGGGCGGGGCCTCGGCGAGTGCTTCCGGGTCCCGATGGGCGCATCGGGGCGCAGTCGGCAGTTCTGACGCACTTCCGCTTCCGGCGGACGGGGCGGGACCTGCGAGTGGCGGCGGCCCGCGGACTCGCGGGAGCGGGTGACCGGTCCAGGCGGCGTCGCAGGGCTGGGGGACGCCCGGGCCTCCGCGGGGTTCGGCTTCCGCTGTCATCCCCGCGTGGGCGGGCCGGGGACCGTGTAGACCCCTCCTGGGACTTCTTCCGCGGCAGTGGCCGAGCCAGAGGAAGCCGCAAGCAGGCCGGGGCGGGTGGGGGGACAGCTGGCGGACTTGGGGTCCTCTCTGGGGCGCGGGGACACGGCTTTCGGGAAGCTGAGGTCGGAACAGGGTGGGGGCCGCTGCTTAGCCGCGGGGCAGGACCCGCCGAGACCCCGCAGCCCGTCCCGCTAGGCCAGCCTCACTCTATCCCTCTGGAGAGCAGTGCTGGCCCAGAGGGGCCCCTCGCCCCGCGCGCCTGCGGGCGAGCCTGGCGGCCCCTCAGCCGAAACATCCTTGACGGTCCGGCCTCGCCCGCAGGGGCCTGCCTGGGGCTGAGCCTCACAAGTAGGATAGCCCCTTTGCCTGCAAGCCCTCCGTCCAGCTCGGCCCCCGCACCGCTTCCCCTAGCCAGGTATCCGGCAGGCTACGCGGTTAAGGGCTCTGTCAAGGGCTCTGTCTGCTCGCCCTGGACCTGCACACAGTGGGTGCATAATCATGAAGTCGAGTGGATGCGTGGCCGCACAGCAGCATGGTTGCCAGCCGTTAGGGCCGTGGGAAGACTTAAGTCCCGGGCCTGGTTGGAGCTGAGGCTGCAAGTCCCCGCCTGCCTGGAAACCAGTGTTCGTGTATGCGGTGTCTGCTGTCGCCTCCGCTAGGATCCAGCGCCCAGGCATAGGCAGTGGGGTCGCTGAGCCCAGCCTTCTAGGAAAGGCTCTCCGTGTTCCCGCAGGCCTGAGAGTTATGTGCTCTTTCTAGGACCCCCAACACCTGTGCAGACATGACTTGCTCATGGTTCCGGATTTGCACAGCTGCTCTGCCTGCCTGTGTCTGCATGTGGGTCAACCCAGCTAGTCCTGCTGATCAAAAGATCCTGTAGCTGGAAGGTGGGAGGCAGGCAGCCAGGGTGCCAATAAGGAGAGAGTAGCAGAGAGACGTCTGCAGAGGGTCTTCCTTGAGTGTTCAGAATAGAGAACCCAGAAATAAACCACATATGTGGTCAACTGATTTTCTACAAGGCTGCCAAGACCACTGTGGGGAGAAAGGACTGTCTTTTCAACAAATGGTGCTGGGAAAACAGGACATCCACGTACCAAAGAATGAAGCTGAACCCTTACTTCACACCTTATGTAAAATTAAAGTAGGTCAAGGACCTAAAACAAAATTCTTAGAAGAAACGTAGGACACAGGCTTTACCACATTGGACTTGACCATGATTTTGATGTGAGACCAGAGGCGTGGACAAAAACAAGACAAATCACACCTCATGAAAATTTTTAGGATTTGTGCATCAAAAGACACTATCAACAGTTTAAAAAAAAAATAGCCCACAGAATAGGAGAATATACTGCAAATCATATATCTGATAAGGGATCAATACCCAGGCTATACAGAGAACTATGACTAGATGACCTGTTTTGAAAGTGGGCAAAGGACCCCAGTAGACATTCTCCAAAGAAGATGTACAGATGGCCAGTAAGTACATGTAAAGATGTTCAACAGAAATAGTCCTTAAAGAAACACAAATCGGGAGCCTGAGTGGCTCAGCTGATTGAGCGGCTGACTCTTGATTTTGCCTCGGGTCACAATGTCCATCCTGACAGCACAGAGCATGCTTGGGATTCTCTGTCTCGAGATGAATGTATAAGCTAAAAAGAGAAGGAAGAAGTAGTGGAGAAAGGAGAAGAGAGAAAATTGTAAAAAGAAGCAAATGTTGGCATGGTTGTGGAGAAATTGGAACCCTCTGCTCATTGTTGGTAGAAATATAAAATGTGTGCAGCTACTGTGGGAGATCGTATAGTGGTTCTATTAAAAATAGAATTCCCATATCCAGTAATTCCACTTCTGAGTGTACACACACAAGAATTAAAAGCAATGCCTCGAGGAGGTATCTACGCCCATTTGTAGCCGTATTATTCACAGTAGCCAAGGGCAGAGGCAACCCATCTGTCTGCTGGTAGATGAATGAGTGAACAAAATGTATACACACACAAGGGGATATTTATTCAGCCTTAAAAAGGAAGGACATTCTGACACGGGTATAGTTGGGCCTTGAGGACATTATGCTGAGAAAAATAAGCCAATCACACACAGACAGAGTCTATACAATTAGACTTATATAAGGTACTTCGACTCATTGAAATCAAAGAGTAGGATGGTAATTGCCATTGTCTGGTGGAGGCAAGCAGGGAGTCCGTGTTTAATAGGGACAGAGTTTCACTTTTGCAAAACGAGTTCTAGAGATGGTTGGTGGTGATGGTGGTGCATTGTTAGAGAATTTTATACCATTGAGCTGTATGCTTACAAATGGTTAAAATGGTAGGTTTTACATTATGTGTGTTTTATTTATTTGTTTTAATGTTTATTTTTGAGGAAGAGAGAGAGACACAGAATCTGAAGCAGGCTTCAGGCTCCGAGCTGTCAGTTGAGAGCCCAACACAGGGCTCAAACTCACAGACCATGAGATCATGACCTGAGCTAAAGTCGGACGCTTAACCGACTGAGCCACCTAGGCGCCCCAATATTTATTTGTTTGTTTGTTTATTTATTTATCTATTTTAGAGAGAGAGAGAGACAGAATGTGAGCGGGGAAGGGTCAGAGAGAGAGGGAGACACAGAATTCAAGGCAGGCTCCAGGCTCTGAGTTTTTAGCAAAGAGCCTGAAGCAGGGCTTAAACCCACGAACTGTGAGATCATGACCTGAGCTGAAGTCAGCTGCTCAACCAACTGAGCCACCCAGGTGCCCTATTATTTATTTATTTTAAGGATTTTATTTTTAAGTAATCTATACACCCATCATGGGTCTCAAACCCACAACCTCGAGATCAAGAGTTGCATGCTCCACCAACGAGCCAGCCAGGTGCTCCATGTTATGGGTATTTTAACACAATTTTTATTTTTAAATGTTTATTTAGTTATATTGAGAGAGTGAGCGAGCAGGGGTGGGTCAGAGAGAGAGGGAGAGAGAGAATCCCAAGCAGGCTCCACACTGTCAGCACAGAGCCCGAGGTGGGACTAGATGAGTTGAAATAAAAAGTCAGACGCTCAACTGACTGAGCCACCCAGGCGCCCCCAAAATTTTTAGAAATGTAAGATGATAGGATGCACACACATGGGTGTGCACACTCCTTTCCTCTAGGGCAGTCCCAAGGCCAAGTTCTTCAAGGGGAAACTCTGTGCCCCCCACCCTATGGCCCATGAAGTCTGGATAACACCCTCTCTTAAGAAACGTTGTCCAGAGTCCCAGGAGCCACCAAGGAGCACGTGGTCCCTGAAGGGAGCAAGGTCAGCTTCTCATCAGTCGGGATCCTGCCATCTGGGGGCGGGAGGGCTGCAGACAGGACCCCAGGTGGAGATGGCCTCACTGAGCCTGCGCTGTCCCCAGCAGCCACTATGGGGCGTCCGTGAGCTGTGTCTGCACTGCCTGCAGCGGTGCTGGGGCTCTGGGGCCGATGCTCACCTGATTGTTCCCTTCCCACCTCCCCCGAGCTGAAGGCGGCTGAGCCACCTCCCTGAACCCCCTGGTCCCTTGCCCGGGGGGTAAATTGTTTACTGAGCTTCCTCTGGGGTCTCCAGGTTGGGCAAGAGCCCAGAGGTCAGGTGGGGAAAGGCAGTGGGGGGCAGGAGGACCTGGCACTTGAAGACACTGTCAGGCCGAGCGCTTTTTGTGGATCCCAGGGCAGCCTTCAGGGGCTCAGCAACAGCCCTTCAGCAGGGGGTGCTGTTCAGGGGTCCTGAGTGCGCTGTTTCTACTCGAGTATACGCCCGTGGGGCGCCTGGGTGGCTCAGCTGAGTGTCCGCCTTCAGCTCAGGTCTTGATTTCATGGTTTGTGAGTTCAAGCCCTGCATCGGGCTCTGTGCTGACAGCTCGGAGCCCGGAGCTGCTTCAGAGTCTGTGTCTCCCTCTCTTTCTGCCCCTCCCCCTACTCATGATTTCTTCTCTCTCTCTCTCTCAAAAATAAATGTTAAAAAAGTTTTGGGGCGCCTGGGTGGCTAAGTCGGTTGAGCGTCTGACTTTCGCTTAGGTCATGATCTCGCGGTTCGTAGGTTCGAGCCCCGCATCGGGCTCTGTGCTGACTGCCAGCTCAGAGCCTGGAGCCAATTTCAGAGTCTGTATCTCCCTCTCTCTCTGACCCTCCCCTGCTCATGCTGTCTGTCTCTCTCTCAATCTCTCTCTCTCCTAGAAATAAATAAAAAATATATTAAAAAAATAAAAATAAATAAATAAATGTTAAAAAAGTTTTAATAAAAAAATTTTTTCTTTTTTTTTAAATATTTTTATTTATTTCTAGGAGAGAGAGAGAGAGAGAGAGAGCGTGAGCAGGGGAGGGTCAGAGAGAGAGGGAGATACAGAGTCTGAAATAGGCTCCAGGCTCTGAGCTGTCAGTCAGCACAGAGCCCGACGCGGGGCTCGAACCCACGAACCGCGAGATCGTGACCCAAGCGAAAGTCGGATGCTCAACCAACTAAGCCACCCAGGCGCCCCAATAAAAAATTTTTTTTTTAAAAGAGTATACACCTGCTTCTGCCCCACTTAACCTCCCATTTGCTCCCGATAACCTTGACTGTCAATATCATATCAGGATCACAAGTCGAACTTGTACTCCTCCTCGGTTTCTTAAACCTGTGACCTCAGATAAATTACTTAGCTTCCTCCTTCTGGCCATAAAGTAGGGACAGTGGTCGTAGAGCCACCCCACAGGGCTGGGGCCATCTTCATTCAACTGGTTAACACATGCAGTGCTCAGAATGAGTGCGGCACTCGGGAAGC